TTAGAAAACAAGTCCAACTGGGAATAATGTCAGGAGGTTCCTTGTGGTTCCTTGAGGTGCCCAGGGCACGTCTCCCAGCCCATCCCCACTGCCACCAGGAGCAGAGACCTGGGGGAAACAGGGCCCTTGTGTCACTGGTGGGCAGGAGGCCACGTCCAGAGGGACATGACCTGGCTCGTGGGGCTGTGGGACCTGCTGTCCTCTCTGACCTTTCCCATCAGCGTCAGGGCCGATCCCTCCCGTCCTGCTCCCAGCGGGGGCAGAGTGTGGGGCTGTGGGGCTGGAAATGGGCTGATGGAAGCAGAGGGTGTCTTGGTCTGCTTGTCAGAGAGCCCTTGGGTGATTAAAGCAACCAAGTCAAACCATTGATCCCACCCCTGCAGACTCCCAAGACCCCCGGCCTGCGGCCCATGGAGCCCCGAGACGTCCCGGCCGTGCACCAGCTCTTGACCCAGTACCTGCAGCTGTTCCACCTGACGCCCATCATGAGCAGGGAGGAGGTGGAGCACTGGTTCTTACCTCAGGAGAACATCATCGACACCTTTGTGGTAGAGGTGAGGGGGCAGGAGAAAGGCAGGGGGGGGTTCCTGGGCTTCTGCCCCCACTGGGAGCGCGTGCTGAGCTCTGGGAGTGACGGGGAGGTCACCTTGGGTGGGGATGCGCGTGGAAAAGGAGGTGGTTGGTGACAACAACGTGGCTTCAGGAAGGGTAAATCATGCCTGACCAGTTGGGTGGCCTCCTATGACAAGGCTACAGAGGTGGGGGGTAGTGGTAGAGCAACTGATGTTATCTACCTGGATTGGTGCAAGGCATTTGACATCCTGGTCTCCAGACTGACAAGACAAGGATCTGATGAACCACCAGATGAACCACCTAGTGAATAGATAATGGGCTGGATGGCTCCACCCAGGGAGCTGTGGTCAATGGCTCAGTGTCCAAATGGAGGCAGGTGACAAGTGGTGTCCCCAGGGATCAGTAGTGGGACCAGTGCTGTTTGACATCTTTGTTGGAGACAAGTGGGATTGAGTGTCTCCTCAGCAGGTTTGCTGATGATCCCAAGCTGGGTGGTGTGGTTGAGACCCAAGGGGGAAGGGATCCATCCAGAGGGAGCTGGACAGGCTGGAGAGGTGGCCAGTGCCAACCTCATGGAGATCAACAAGGCCAAGTGCAGGGTCCTGCCCCTGGGTTGGTGCAAGCCCAGACACCAATCCAGGCTGGGGGAGAATGGCTGGAGAGCAGCCCTGAGGAGAAGGGCTTGGGGGTGGGAGGAGATGAGAAGCTGGACATGAGCCCCCAGTGTGTGCTCAGAACCCAGAGAGCCAACCCATCCTGGGCTGCATCACAAGAAGTGTGGCCAGCAGGGCCAGGGAGGGGATTGTCCCCTCTGCTCTGCTCTGGTGAGACCCCCCTGGGGTGCTGTGTCCAGCTCTGGAGCCCTGAGCACAGGAGAGACATGGAGCTGTTGGAGAGGGTCCAGAGAAGGGCCATGAGGATGATGCAAGGGCTGGAGCAGCTCTGCTCTGGAGCCAGGCTGGGAGAGTTGGGGGGTTCAGCCTGGAGAAGAGAAGGCTCCAGGGGGACCTTAGAGCAGCTTCCAGTGCCTGAAGGGGCTCCAGGAAAGCAGGGAGGGGCTTGGGACAAGGGCAGGGAGGGATGGGATGAGGGGGATGGATTGAAACTGGAAGAGGGAGATTGAGGTGAGACATGAGGAGGAAATTCTTTGCTGTGAGGGTGGTGAGAGCCTGGCCTAGGTTGCCCAGGGAAGCTGTGGCTGCCCCATCCCTGGCAGTGTTGAAGGGCAGGTTGGATGGGGCTTGGAGCAGCCTGGGCTGGTGGGAGGTGTCCCTGCCCATGCAGGGGGTTGGAACCTGATGACCTTTAAGGTCCCTTCCAACCCAACCCATTCCATGATTCTATGCTCGTGGGTGGGAGTTTTGAGGTGCTGGGGGATGGTCCCTCAAGTCCTGGGCTGCCCCCAGGTTCCTGCAGGGACCCCACACCCCAGCTGGGCTGGCAAAGCCTCTCTGAGGCTCCAGATGGGCTTTGTCCAGGTCCTGACATGTTGTGGTGTCCCTTGTGGCCTCCAGAGCTCCCCTGGGCAGGTGACAGACTTCCTGAGCTTCTACACGCTGCCCTCCACCATCATGAACCACCCGACCCACAAGAGCCTCAAAGCTGCTTATTCCTTCTACAACGTCCACACCAAGACCCCCCTCATCGACCTCATGAGCGACGCGCTCATCCTCGCCAAGTCGGTGCGTGGGGGGGCTGGGGGGCAGGGGCAGCGTGGTGGGAAGGGCACTGGGCACTGGGCAGCTCACTAGGCACCAGGAGTTTACTGGACAGCTCACTGGGCACCAGGAGCTCACTGGGCAGCTCACTGGGCACCAGGAGCTCACTGGGCAGCTCACTGGGCACTGGGCAGCTCACTGGGCACCGTGTTCTCACCGGACACCGTGTTCTCACCGCCAACGTGGCCACTCTTGGGTTGGTGGGGCTGCCTGTCCATGGGGCAGGGCTTGTACCCAGGGCTGTACAATCCCAAATCCTAAAGGATCTGCCTCCCCAGGAGGGGCAGCAGGGGGGATATGCCTCTGGGATGGGGCCATGGGGGGGCCCCAACCCCTCCCTCTGCCCAGCCTGGGGAGCTGCTGGTTCCCCACCCGCTGCTGAGCTGAGGGGTGGAGGGCTCTGGGGGTTCACCCCTTTCCCAGGGCTGCAGAGCTGGGCTGGAGAGGGAGCAGGTGGCTCCAGGATGGGAGGAACTGCCCATCCCGCGGGCATGAGGGGCTGACAGGTCCATGTCCTGCTCCTGCAGAAAGGATTTGACGTCTTCAATGCACTGGATCTGATGGAAAACAAAACCTTCCTGGAGAAGCTGAAGTTTGGGATTGGGGACGGGAACCTGCAGTATTACCTGTACAATTGGAAGTGTCCCAGTATGGCACCAGAAAAGGTCAGTGTGGGGGCTGCTGGGCTGGGGGGTTATCCCCCCCAGGGGAATGAGTTTGCCACTGGTGCTCCCAGGCTCCTGGGAGCTCTCCTGCTGTGCCCACCCCAGCCTGTCCCTGGGGAAAGGCCCTGGTTCTCCCCCAGCTCCAGGCACTCCTGGGCTGGAGCAGGTCCTGGTCCAGAACCTCCCCCGTGGGCACCAACAGCCTCCTCCCACTGTGGAGGGAGGGCAGGGACAGAGAGGGACAGGCAGGGGGCTGCAGGGTGACAGATGTGACACCACTGGTTGTGAGAGTCAGCAGGGAGGTGGTTGCTGTGCCCTGAGAGCCTGCACAGGATCCAGTGTCACCACACAGCCCTGTACCCTGGTGTTAGCCTGGTGGGGGGACAGCAGACCTGAGAGAGAGAGCAGAGGAGCTTGAGAGCCATTGAGCAAGACCTGGTGGCAGTGGGGTCCTTGTTGCACCTGGAATCCTGGGGTCAGTTCTGGGCCCCTGGGGACAAGAAGGACACGGAGGGGCTGGAGCGTGTCCAGGGAAGGGCAAGGGAGCTGGGGAAGGGGCTGGAGCACAAGTGTGAGCAGGAGCAGCTGAGGGAGCTGGGGGTGTCCAGCCTGGAGCCAAGGAGCTGAGGGGAGACCTGCTGGCTCTGCAGCTGCCTGAGAGGAGGTTGGAGCCAGGGGGGGTCGGGCTCTGCTCCCCAGGAACAAGGGGCAGGAGCAGAGGAACCGGCCTCAAGTTGTGCCAGGGGAGGCTGAGGTTGGACCTTGGGAACAGTTTCTCCCTGGCAAGGGTTGTCAGGGCCTGGCCCAGGCTGCCCAGGGCAGGGGGGGAGTCCCCATCCCTGGAGGGGGTTCCAAGCCCTGGAGATGGTGCTGAGGGACATGGGTTAGCGTTGGACATTAGTTGGGTTAATGGTTGATAGAGTTGGGTTATGGTTGGACTTGATGATCTTAAGGGTCTTTTCCAACCAGAATGATCCTGTGGTTCAGAGCCAGGGGGTGGCAGGGCTGTCATCTTGTCCCTGCAGCAGTGGGCACCCTGGCTGCTGCCTGGGGCCGTTTTTAGGCAGCACCCAGTTCTGCTGCACCTCCACCCTGGTGATGTGACTCATTCACCTTGGAGAGGACAGTGCTTGAGCACCAGAAGCCCCCCCAGCAGCTCCACAGCAGCTCGTTAATGGCAGTAACGAGGCTTTGGCTCCCTGGGCAGAGCAGGTGGCTCCAGGTGCCCTCACCCCTCCCTCACTCTGAGCCTTTGGAGAAGCTCTGGGAGGTTTCAGCCACCCCTTTGCTCTCCAGTTGGGTGCTAGACCTGCTCTCCAGGGTGCAGCCTGGGACTTGGCAGGGCTGGTGGCCTTTGGAGGGGCCTGTCCCAGGACCAGGCTCTTGAGAAGCAGCTGCTCCCAAACCTCTTGTTGTTATAACCTACAACCAACCTGGGCTCGTCCTGCAGCCCTGTCACACCCCGAGCATCTGTCACCTCCCCAGTGCTGAGCTGCCCAGGGTCCTTGTCCCCATTTGGCCACATGCCCAGAGCTCTCCCTGCTCCCAAATACCCCAAAACAGGTGGGAAAACCCTCATGGACACCCCT